ATTTATTGAGCTCACTGTTATGATGGTAATGTAACATAAACAGTTGGAAATAAATTATGTTCATATTTTGATAAATTATCCTGTCTGCCAAAAACATACTTTTGTTTTATTTTTAATCAAATTTCAACAGACTGAATAGTCAATATTCGTGGTTCGAAATATTATTTAGATATGTATTTGAAAAAGAATGACATACTAAACCGGCATCCAACAATTACATTTTCTTTCGTGTATTGAGATAAAACTTTTAATTTTTGTTATAAAAAGGAAGACAACAACAATTATTAACAATTGCATTAGTACGTACTACATACCTCCAATAATAGCTTCTTTTTCTTCTTCATTGCCTTACACAATCGCGTTGTACGTTTTTTGGTAAAACAAGTTTTCAGCGTTCTATTTCCATAGCAACGTTATTATTTGTTTAAAATCGGCTGATTAAACGATTACAGACAGATAGCCGGAATGAATTAAATAGAGCAGCGGTGATATAGACCGAGCGTGATTCACTGTCGTTTCAATGAAAATGTCGATACCCGAGCACAATGACTCAGTAGGGTGTCCACAAAAATATCTCAGTAAATTTGTCCGAGGGGCCCCTCACTTCAGCTTTCTTATTCCAGACCGAACGGGTCAGTCGACTTCCCGCTATCGATTAGCTCGCCTGACTCATATTTGGGGGGACATATAAAATGAAAACGATGAAAAATCTGTTGGGCCGGTTTTCGTACTAATAGCGATCCTCGACATTTTATAAATTATTTTCTGTGATTTTCCTTTTCTCTAAGCTCCACTGGTATAAAGACACTGGTATATTTTTTTAAATTCTGGACAGTACATTTCTATTATGCATTTAAAACTATCATCAGAGGTAGTATTAAGTAGCAGTATGCAATGGGTTTTTATAACTTAAACATCACAGAGATTAGAAAGTGACCGTTTATCACTGAGTATAAAAAATTTACAGCGGAATTCCACCAATGCGTATTCAGGGGTTTCAAAGTCGTTGTTAAACCGGCAAAGATTAGATTCCAAAATCTCATCTTAGTCCAATTAATAGGCGACGGTTTTTTTAACCCATGGGATAAAGTATTTGATCACAGTGCGGTATCATTTGGATTTTAAAAAAACAACAAAAAAGTAAATGAATTTTTGTAAATACCAAAACTGTAGTAGTACATTAATGTCACTAAAAAAGAATGGTTGTAGCACTGTAAAGAAAAAACTTTCATCAACACTATTTCTCAAATAGCGGATCGAGAACGCTGGAAAGCACGTGGGCAGCAGATTCCACCCTGGAACCTAATACTCAGAATCCATGGGTAATACACCAGTAACTTCCAGGATAAGTCCTCGCAATCGAGAGACGTACCTAGTTTAATTTGAACAAAGGGTACAAAAATAAGGACATCGCTGTCATGTCAAAGCACTGTTCTAACATCATTAACTCAAAGATGGTGCTGAATTGCAAAACTAAATTAAATATATTAGATTTTTAAAACAAAGTCATCCAGGTTCCCCGTGGTACCCAAGGCTCCGTAGTTTCAAGGATGCAGGGCAACTCGCGACTTCTATACCGTAATTACACGGATCAGAAGCAACCACAGCTTATAGGGTGCTCATAAGTATAAGATTGGCCTGAGGGAATCTGCCAATTGTGCTTCCTGTGACTGTACAGAGGACATGAACCATATAATTATGGAATGCCCAGAATACGAGGAAATGAGACAGAATCTCATCAGTGGTATCGAATCCTTGTTTGGAGTGGCCAGACCTTTTTCCTTGGAAACTTTAATTACATCTGGGAGAAGAGACTTATACCATCTAATTTATTGTTTCATAAGGGAAAGTTGCAAAAGTCACAAAGTCAAGTTGGGTCCCAGGACATGAGGTAATAGAGAATAACGCGCGAGCGGATACCATTGCAAGAAAAGGACCTAAAGGCACCCTATACTTCTCTGGCATAAGGGTGCCAACTATCAATGACACATGGAACATAAAATATTTCCAAGAGAATGGAATATCAGAATGCATGAAAGGAAGCAGGAAAAACTTCGGATCCTTCTTAAGAGGACTGAATCTGAAGAAGATTGGTATAACACAACACGGCACTAAATTCAAATATCATTAACTCATAGATGGTACTGAATTGTGAAACTAAACTAAATAGATTAGGTACGCAAAAAAAATCCCTGCTAGGTCCCAGGACATGAGAGAATAGAGGGCAACTCAGAGCGTATACCCGGGGCTGCTATACCGCTGTTAGGTCGCGTGCAGATTCTGCAAAGAAACAGGAGACACCTGCTAACAACCTGTGGCGCTACATTTGCCCATTTTTTTTGGCAGTACTATACAACCGTAGATAAAATTCAACGACTGAGATCGGGCCTACTAATCAAGAACCCACTGGTGTGCTGTAAGCACAGAACGATAAATACAATAGTTTTCATAATACCCACCCCGAATGATACATCAACATCCACATCTACATTCTTCAAATACATTCCTATTTTATTTCTGTTCTTTGATGGAAAAGTATGATAAATTAATTTTGATATATAAATAAAAGATGTACAATGTTTTAAATTAAAATAAAATAATTAATGGAATAGATAAATCATTTCTCTGGTGCTTAAATTTTATGATTTATACTACAGTATTCACACAATTATCTATTATCTCATTTCCTACTAATTATGATCTAGTTTGATAGGATGATTTCGAGGGTTGTTGGTAGAGGTTTGGAGCATCAGTTGTATGAAAGGTTTTATGGAGTGAGATCCGTTAATATTCTGGCCAGGAGAATCAAGGTGAACCTCTATTTCCTTTACAGGCCTGGCTTAGCGACAGTTCACATGTGCTCAGTAAACATTTATTAATTAAAAGTTTTGTAAATAAACACCTATTTTATTTGGAATTTATTTAAGGAAGAAACTCTAACGTATTCTGATATCGTGCAACGGGTCCAATGTTTTGCGTACATAATCTGAAGTACGTATCACATAAGTAACGACCTATTAGGGAATATAATAGGGAAAGGTTTAAAGACCTGATATCTTAAGGCTCCCTTGGCTTTCAGAGGCACCTTCTTGTATCGAATTGGTCAATAGAATCCGTCAGAGGCGACAAATATTTGTTAGGGCGTACGTGCTTCTTTCTTTCGAGTGAGAATTATTCTCAAGAATAATGGCATTCCACTCTGATTTTTGTGGGGCTATTGTCCGAAAGTTCGGGTTCGCAGGAAAACAAAGGGGCCACTGTACGAGTTTATGCTATTTCCTTGGGTTTATTTTGTTAATAATCGGATGCTGATTAATAATATTTCAGTGTGAAATAGTTCGTAATCAGGTTTTAAAAAATGCATATATCACTTACAGTCAATGTTGTATCTAGTGTCTCGAGGGTCTAATCATTTCTCAAGCTTCATTTCTTCTCCGATAATTTCTTTCCACTACAAAAGCTACTTGCATTGTAGTTTCCATAATGTCAGGTAAAGCAATTTCAACCTAAAAAATAAATAAAATATTGTAGAATTATTTTGCATAAAGAAAAATAAATTTAAAGAACAAGGCAGTTTCAAAGAACGAAACTTAGCTACTGTTTCGTTCTTCAAGTGTTAATGTGTTTCTTAATAATAATTAACCATTAAAGGAAAGAAATTCGAAGAAAGAAAATGATACAGGGTTAGAGCGCAACATATATGACCTAAGTGTACAGTAGATTTTTGGAATGAGAAGACAATATCCATAGAAAGACACCTGGAAAAAAATTAAAATAATAATGTTAATGTCCACGAAGGCAAAGAAAAGATATGCTCGCAATATAGCAATTTAATAAGTAGATATAACAATAATTGCAATATAAATTAAAATTGTTATTGCTTACAGTAAGTTGGATATTTGGACTTATATAAGCACAATTCCGCACATGTATGTACTTATTTACACACATACAGTTGAGCCTATCACTTCTCGAGTCCTACAACAACTCCAGCTTTTGTAATGTACAATAAATTACCGACAAGGCTCCAGAATCACCCACCTCGGGTGTTGGTAGTCTGGATCTCGGACTTCTCCATCCAGCCATCGAGGTTGGGCTATGTTGTATATGTTGTATCTAGTGTCTCGAGGGTCTAATCATTTCTCAAGCTTTATTTCTTCTCTGATAATTTCTTTCCACTACAAAAGCTACTTGCATTGTAGTTTCCATAATGTCAGGTATAGCAATTTCAACCTAAAAAATAAATAAAATATTGTAGAATTATTTTGCATAAAGAAAAATAAATTTAAAGAACAAGGCAGTTTCAAAGAACGAAACTAACGCACATGTATGTACTTATTTACACACATACAGTTGAGCCTATCACTTCTCGAGTCCTACAACAACTCCAGCTTTTGTAATGTACAATAAATTACCGGCAAGGCTCCAGAATCACCCACCTCGGGTGTTGGTAGTCTGGACCTCGGACTTATCCATCCAGCCATCGAGGTTGGGCTCGGAGTGCTCGGTCAATTAAGCACCCAACGAATGCAATTGATACTGTGCCCTTTGAGAGTCAGTGGTTGAATTTCCTCTACGGTAATATTATACATCCCAAAACACTTTCTCCTGCGGGCGAATGTGGCACCACCGTTTGTTAGTATGTGTTTCCTCTACTTCTTTGCAGAACCACCCTTTCAGTCTGCAGAGTCCTGTTAGGAGTCGCAGGTATTTCCAGCTTCCTTTGATGCATTCTACTGTTTCTTTCTTTTCAAAATTTGCAAATAAAAATCTTTATTCAGAATGAATTGGGTGCATCTCTCGATTGCAAGGACTTCAGCCTGGAAGATACTGGTGTATTTTTCCATAGACTCTGAGAATTATTTTCCAGGACCGAAAACTCATGCCCGTACTTTAATGTGTTTAAATCCATTAGTGTACCAGCAGAGGGTGCCGCACTGTAAGTGTGTGCTATTCTTTTTTGGTAGTTAAGTTTGTTTGGAAATTTTTCTTGAATTCAAATATCCTGTTCAAGTCGCTCTTGGAGCCTCTTTCCTGCTCTTTCATTAGGCTGTTTTTATCCCTCCATTTTAGTTGTAGTTCTGTTGGAGGTTTCTCTTTGAAAATGCTGATGATTGTTTTCTGTGTTGTCCTCATTATCATATGGTGGAGGGGGTTAATCCATACCAGCTATGGGACATGTTCCCATCACTTCCGTTATAAAAACGCATGCGAGGCTCTGAATTTTCGATTTCTCTCTAATATCTACCCAGGCTATTGCGCTGTATGTTCCATCGTTTATTTATTTGTAATTTATTGTTGGTTAACTCATTCAGCAGGCCAAGTTGGCCACTAGTATACACTGCCTATAATTACGTTAAATGCAAATTTACTTTTATTCTTGGTTTTTAAAACTGTACTCTTTTGACAGTTTACTTGTCCGGAGTTTGTACAAATAAATAAACCTTTCTTAAGAATTAATGATTTGACTTGGATGTGAACGTTTCGTCCATTGTAGATGTTCTTGCAGAAGCAACCGGAGTATTTTATTCACTGGTGAAAGTGAGAACGAAAGGTGATGCACTTGAGGATGGGCATGTTATAGATGAAAGTTTGTTTATTGTATGAGCTACGAGTAGCCGACCACAACTGGATTCCTTCACGTGTTTGGCATGAGGTGATAAAAAGCGTATAAAGGTGATGGCACTATTACTCCGAGTCTCGGCCTCTTCTTTCTATTCAATACACATACACTACCGACTTCCTCTCACTATTTCTTTTTTTAGACACTATCCTATTTCCATATTGCTTCCAGCCCCTGACGCGCGGACTGGTAATAGACCACCATTGTACAAATTTCTAAAATGTGCTGTTGTTTAATCCAGTCTTAGAAAAGTGATATGGCGGCGAAAGCAAATAAATATTCCAGAAAGTCTAACGACAAATTGGCATGTACAGAAAACCGACGGCAACTGACATCATACAACCAAACCAAGCACAGAGACAAAATGGCAGCACTGAAATACATGATGGACAGACTAAAATCAATGTCGGGGGCGTCGGTGGCTGCAACGGTTAAGCCATTAACACAGCCCTCATCATTGTAAGGCGAAGGTCCCGGGTTCGAATCCAACGGCCCTGCATTCGAACTCACATACTTACGGCTTTTTATTTCCAAAACTCCTTCACTTTGAGTATTCACCTCGAGTTGAAATACCCTCGTAAACAAAATAAATAAAACCAATCCCTTTAAACACAGGCAAGTAGGAACAAGAATTATAAAGAATACAAACCATAGCCCACAATAACGGCTATAACACAAACAAAACCAACAAAATAGTAAACAAAACACGTAACAAAAAACAAAACAAAAAACATGCACTGAATGGACTACAGTCACACACATTGTCTTCGAAATATATAAATATAACACTTCAACACTAAAAAACTCATAAATACACAAATTAACAATAACTCACAAACATCATTAACACTATTCAAACAATTCTACAAATTAAAAAGAAAAAGGACAAAAGATCAAAAAGACCGACCAGAACAATAAAAAAGGCCCTCACTTAATCCATCAAATACACCGACAAACAACACTTATACCTACACAGCCCCTCGACACCATCCACGACTTCGGAGCAAAAATATCACACCACAAAAATCTCCCACTGAAGATGGCAAAACGCTTCTGAAGTACGAGGGCCCAAGGCCCGACGAAACAAATTTTCTTACCCTGTAAAGAATTGGGCGGGGGAGAAATGATTGGTCCAATTTTATTGAAAATAAATACATTTTTTCTGCTAGTATACAAGTGTTGATAAATCAAGCGAACGTGAGACGAAGTCTAGACGGACTTTATCCAAAGTAGATGCGATCAAAATCACTCACAAACTCGATGATGTCGCCATATTGTCCAAATAAGGTACCAAATGACGAAGCCCATTCCATACCACAAGAATTCGCGAACAGCGTCAACAATTGGTTAAAAGAAAATAAAAGCGATCCAAAGAAGTCACAAGTAGTTCATCTCACTTACCGGCCAAATGAAAAAATTTTGTTCCTTAGACCCGTAACATGTACAAATCTCGGGCTACACTTTGACCAAAAGCTAAGGTGGGAAAAACATTGTCACACGGACTAGACATCTGATGTAACCTCTCCTCGCCAGTAAAGCCATCCACGAGAAACGATTCATTTACATTATATCAAAGGTAGGACTGGCAATACGGTTGCACAATATGGTCATCGGCATCTGATTCACAAATTAAAAAGGTGCAAACCATTGAAGACCGTATACTCCGGTTAATAACGATGATCCATGGTATATTCGGAGCCTAACTATCCACAAAGAGTTGGACATCCCTAAAGTTAACAAGGTGATCAAGGACACCCTACAGTCGACACCACCGGTCAATCATGGGGCACCCCAACAAAGTGATGCAAAATGATCACTCCAAAATTACAAAGACGACTGTGTCATGAAAATCACGACAATTTTTTATTTAATCGACTTTTTTGTTTATCTTTTGGTTATGTTGTAATTTTCAAGCTAAATTATTATTATTAACAATGAAGTAAACCTTATTAATTTTCAAACAAACAATAATTTATTTAGAAAAAAATCTTATTTTTTATTTGATTAAATTGTTCAGTCAAGAAAATTTTATTAATTTGTTATTTCGATTTGTATTATATAAAAATGTAAATAGTGCTGCTTTCGCCATAACGTGTAGTAACTTGAAGGCAGTCGTAGAGTCTACTTCATATAAACTATCGTTAACAGGTTGGCAAAAGAAAATATTTTAATTCTTTTTTGTATGATTATTTTGATTGAGATTTTTTTATATTTTGTTTCGAAGATTTTGAGTTTGTTTGTTTATTTTTTAAAAAGGAATATAATTTTTTGTTGTAATTCGGATTTCGTTTTTATTTGTATTATTTCCACTGCGCAGCAAGGATCTGCTGAATGTTGTTTTTTTTATTAGTGTCCCATTCGGCAGTGTCCGAATAAAAGATACCACATACCTTCATTACAACTGAAAAGGAAGAGACATTCCGACCTTGTACCATCTTAAACTCGTATCAATTACTGTTAAATACTTACTTATCGCAAGCTACTGCCACCAAATTTATTAATAAACTGATTAACGCCTGATTAAAGAGGAACGCCATAGATAGAAGACACCGCAAATCGGCCTTCTGACGTTAAAAGTGAAATAAAAAATATGATCAACAAGAAATGGTAGCTGCGGCTGACGGATGAGACCGAAGTCTGACCCAAGACCGCCAAAACATCGAATTGGGTCAAGCTCAGTTCTGTATTTATACGTAACTATGCACATGTATGTGCAGAATTGAGCTTACAGAAATGATTCGATAAATAAATATGGTAAATATTAATTTCATGGGGTAACAATTTCAAATATTAACCGCATTCAAAAACCCTGGCCAACGCATTTTAAAAGGAGATTAACATACCTTCAAAATCTCAGCTGTACCAGGTAGCATAAGTAGGCAACGAAAGGGCCGTACGGTAGCAAACTCGAGACTCCGGTATTGGGGGCTTGACTTAGGCCTAAAATGGCTGTCATAAAATCGGCCTATACATGGTCAATTCCAAAATATTCTTGCTGTATACTGCTCGCACAAAAGAGTACGAAATAACATTTTATAATTTTTTTCTTAGATCAGCTGGTAGCTAGGTTTGAAAAAACAAATGAAAAGTTATAATTAAGCCTTACAAGAAAAATTCATTTCCTCCATACTTCATGTTTTAGCGTATTAGGATGCCGCACCTAAGCCACGTCTGGCTCTTTGCAGCTTGTTGTCTAGCACTTGTATTTATGCTTTTTTGATTATAGACGGAGGCTTTCTTATCTAATAAACCGAATAAAACATTTCATGTATGCTGAACTGGCCATAGGGTTACTTATTGGGTCCGTGAAGGGTTGAACATGAGTTCAACGACTCGCAGATCATCATCAACTCTAAGTACTATTATTGGACAACTTCTCGAAGAGTATTTAGTGGCATTTTATTGTATTTTGTCACCATTGTTACTAATTGCGCTATGATTCTGAAATAATAATGAATATTTATGAATAATAATATGAAAATTAAAAAAAAATATTTTACCATGTAACGATTTTTGTAAACGACGTAACATTTTTTTTTGCTAAAATTTTATTGCAACAGCTACTTCTTACGATTAATAAGACTAATGAAAGTGGACAAAATACCATTTGTTTTATATGCACTTCTTTTGCTGAGTGAGAAAGAAATTGACCTATCGATAGTATCAGTCGCATTAAATAATTCAGGATCGAGCAATGAAATAATTATGCGTAATCTAACGCTAGCGCAAAATCATTGGATTTTTGTTCCGAAAAATAAAAAACTTTCCAGAGTTTAAGTGAATATTTTTTTAATCTAAGGAAGATTCCTTACTCCTCTCTTCAATTTGGATGCAATGGGAGGCCAAACAAGCTTTGTTCGGTAGCTTGGCAGCTTAAATGTTTAAAAAATTCGATGTTTTTATTTATAATTTTTTTTCAAAAAGTGTGCTATTTCTTGTTAAATTGTGTTAATAGAGAAAATATTCCGGTTATAAAAGTGTCCTCGACGTAGAAAGCTAAATTGCAGTTGCACGAACGTTCTGACCTTCTTTCACCTGGTTTATGCTTATGCCGGTGTCGAAGGTTCAAACTTCATTCCGCATTGCAGCCCCATTGCCTGACTATTTTGTCGTGAAGGTTGAACCTGTAGTAGTGGAGGTGCGTGCTCCAAAGCCTGTACCACCTCTTCCACCTCTTAAGTACATTTGACGTATGCAAAAAGCAAATGGTAATTACCGAAACATTTGGCACAATAATTATTTATTTTTCTAAATTTTAAGTTCAATTAGTTTTCTCTAAACAGTTGTGAATATTTTAACCAGGAAAGTCAGAATCGGGGATATTCCACATCTATCGTGCCGGTTGTCCCAGTTTGGTCGTTCCGATTTTCTGTTCTGGTCTAGACGATACATTTGACATTAACACAAATTTAACTCGACTAATTTTGGTATCCTCGCTGTTTTGGTCTGTGAGGTGAGTGAAGATTAAGACGGAAACGGGTCTAACAAACCAGGATGATTAGAAACTGCCAAACTCTCCAGGTTCATCACCCCGCTGATTCCAATACGAGTGTTATGTTTGTGCACTTTATATTATTATTTATGTTTATGCGAAATTACTTGTTTGAAAGACCAGCACGTCTTTGTCACCTAGCACTGACGACGGGCAGACCAAAACACCAAAACAGGGAGGATTGGAAAATCAGAATTATCGGAAATTATGTACACATTCATCAACGAATCTCCCCCAAATTGTTTATTTAAAGAGTGGCCTACCATTGCCCCAAAAGAGTACACATGTATAAAGAATCAACAGTTAATCTGCATGTTGCAATTAATAACAGTTTATTAAACCTCTGTTTAATTGTAGTTGTAAAAGTTGTAAAACCCAACTTCTGTATTCGATCTCTCTTCACCGTGTATGCTCTCATCGATGTATGCTATCGTACCTGGCCCGTTGGTTGATTTAAATTTAATTTTGTATATCCGGGCCCATATTTGTTGGAAAATTAAAAAGATATCTATCGAGTCCATTTAGCTCATTTAAATTTAATTTTGTATATCCGGACCCATATTTGTTGGAAAATTAAAAAGATATCTATCGAGTCCATTTAGGTCATTTAAATTTAATTTTGTAAATCCGGGCCCATTATTTGTTGAAAATTAAACAAATATCTATTGAGTCCATTTAATTCATTTAAATTTAGTTTTGTATATCCGGGCCCATATTTGTTGAAAATTAAAAAGATATCTATCGAGTCCATTTAGCTAGTTTCCCTCGGAAATTTTCTTTTTAATTTTTGATGATACTTATTACAGGTATTTTGTTATGGATAAGTTTTATTAAACCTTTCTCTTCCTTTTTTAGTTTTAGGGCAAACTGCATTGCCAATCGTCGCCGCCCTCTCTTTCTTAGCTTTGCATTTCTTGTCTTATGTTTCTAGCGTTTTAAACCTAGCCATTTCTTTTACAGTTTTTCCAGCCCAATTGTGATGTTATATATATATGGTATAACGGTAACCAATTTTGTCCTTTCGTTATCCTATTGCTGCCACGTCAATTATGGATCAAATAACATCGGAAGGTCTTTTGCATGCCATGCCTGGATATGTAGTATGAGTTCAGTAACGAGTTGCTTTATTTGAAATCAGTTTTCTTTGTATAATTTATCTATCTAAAATCATTATATGCGTAGCCAACTACCCCGTAGACAGATTGCCATTCAAGCCGTATAAAACTTTATAAATGTTCAATATGTAATGTTCTTTCTTTGTTGTAAATAAAGTAAATAAAAATACTTATACATACGTTATCTATATTTATTGTATCTATCTATCTATCTATCGGAAGTTGAATATCGTCACCAGAATGTCGATCACTTTCTTAATTAATTACTTAAAGTAATTTACAAGTGAATTTTTAAATCTACTGAATGTGCGTGTGAGACCCGTCAAATCTTGGTACTTTACAAGTGCCTAAAACACTGGTTTCATGTATTTTTTATATATTTTATGCACCACACGTACTTTGACTGCGAATGAATCCGATTGGGCATGTTCAGATAATAATTTAGATAGTGTATTATAAATAGGTTAAGGAAAATTTTGAAAAACTGCTTATCGATATTGGAATAGAAATATAATTTGGATTTTCGGTTGGAGACAAGGGAACGACCTAGAGCATAGTTCACTAAATTAATCTGTTATCTCCACCGTTGTCAAAATCCCTTCGTCTCAAACGGTTGTGTAAGTTTACGGGTTATACAATTGTCCTCTTTATTTACAAAATTTCGCGTTAATCGCGTTAGCTCGGTACACACGAGATTATATTTATCTTCTCGACCCCCGTAATGCGTTTCTGAGAAGAAATGCCGAAACTGAGCTTACTATAAGATAATAATTTTCCGTTGTCGCTTAAATGTCCGGTTCAAGATTTCAAATGCTCCTAGAATTTCAAGTTATTTCTTCATGTAATGCTGTTAATTAATACGCACTCGATGTACACGTTATCAATTAAACAATCTTACTTTAAAAATGAATGTTTAGATGCCTAAAAGCTTATAATAAATCTGTACAATTATTTACTATTAACTATTTTTGAATAAATGGCATACAACTGTAACATCATCGTTTTCATATGAGATTTTGGGTTTGAAACATTTGATTTGTCAAACTTTGACCAGTTACAAACTGGATGATGATAGGACTCTAGGAAGTGGTTTTATTTATTTGTTTTTACTAACTAAGGCGATCGACCACTATGTGGGTTATTTTCCGCCTTTATAGAGTGTAGGTTATACGGTACGTGGGTGACAGGGCACGGATGCATGGGAACCTACCGGCCGGGCGAAAACAGCGGACACCCTGGGTCACCTTTTCTTTATAATTATTCTATCCTTACCTAGAGGAGGATCTGCAAGACCATACATAGGCCCCGAACCTATCCTTGGGATAACAAAAACAAACATAGATTCCTCCATCGCAGAATGGATCCAAACAAAACAAAGAGAGAAGTGGATAAACTCTAGCGGTGCTAGACATAGTAAACTTATGCTGAAACAACCCTCACCAAAATTGGCAAAAACACTGCTGCAATTGGAGAGGGCAAAACTCAGAGGAGTGGTGGGACTACTAACCGGTCACTGGTATCTGAGGAAACATCTACACAACATGGGTATACAAAATAATGATCCCTTTTGGAGATTATGTAATGAGGAGGAGGAAACAGTCACTCATATCATCTTCGAATGCGAAGCAACAGCTCAATGGAGGTTTAACCTAACGTACGAAAAAGACTCAGGGAACCAAATTGCAGCAATAACAGTCAATGACCTGATACTTCTGGGAAAAAGGATTGAGTCTATTGACTAAACTAGGGAACTGGGAAGGTACAATAAGGCAGACGGCTGCAGTGCCTGGGGAATACAAGCCCCGCTTCCCAGCATCCCTTCCACCATACCTATTCAGATTGTTCAGAAGGATGTGAATGCAGTGCCACCATCAACATCCTTCCTCTATTGGAGGACTTATTATCGCCCAAGGATCCCGTAGAAACACGCCCCATACAGCCCAAAATCTCCCCGACCGAAGAGCACCCAAATATGTCCTCTTCAGCCTATGCCACCTTCAAGTTAGCCATTTTTTCATTGTGTTAACAACATCATTATACTTATGTTAATTTATTTGATCATCTGTTTGATATTTTTGGAAATAGATAGGTTTCTTCAAAAATTCCATTAAGGTATCAATCGTAATGGTCTACGATAGTCTCACCCAGCTTTTCTAGAAGACGGTATGGTACATTAAAGCTTTTTCTGTCGTCTTTTTAAGCTTCAGGTTGCCAGAATATGCTGCTTCTTAACCAGGTCTGCACATGTGGCACCGATAGGGGTGTCCTGCCTAAGCGTCTGTGCCTTTTCTTTTGCCGGACCTAATCCATATCTGGCTCTTTGCAGCTTCTTGGCTTGTACTTCTATAAAGCTTTTTGGTTTATAGACGGAAGCTATGTTCTTTCTTTTGTCAATTAGGCGGGCGCATCTCGCTCCACCTGGCAAGCTCTTAGTCACAGTATGTCACTACGTC